GCAGCGTCATGATTAAGTACACAGGGTTAAAGACTAGAGAGGTTTAGTATAGAATTCTGTAAAATGATATTGTAAGTGATTTGAATAGTAAATTTTATATTCTACACATTTTGCCCAATAAGAAGGAAACCTAAACATACCTTATAAGTATAAATAATATTTCCATTTCTTTCCACATTTAGTACATGCAAGCTCTCATAATTGATTTCTAAAACATCTGAAATAAGAAAACAGCAAGTTAACACTTGAAAGATTTTTTTTTAAATACACCAGACAAATGCAATATCAGGGAGAGAAGCCAAGTACAGGACACTCTAATGCTTCCATGCTGTCGTCTATTTGCAGGCAAACCTAACCTACAGCCACTGGCCAGCGGGACAGCAGTGACCCTCAGGGTGGACACTAGGGACCAGGTGATCTCGGTCATCTTTGGAGGCGCAGGGGGTCAGGCCCACTGACCCAATGGCTTCCCCGGGCTCCCTGAGCTGTGCTTTCTTATGGTGATTTTCTGGGTGAACATCACACCACCACAAGTGCCAGCATCTACTAATTTTTGTTGTATGTGGTCAGAGACTGCACACTTTGGACAACACACTGAACTGTCTGGTGGGCAGCTCAGTGGCCAGGTGCCTGAGTGGTCCACAAAGGCAAGCAGACACATAGCCTCACATCACTCCTTCCTCCCTGGTCTCCAGAAGCATGAGGCTAAACAGGCAGTGAGCCAGCCTCAGGGTTCCTGCTGCCAGAGGAAAAGGTGGGGAGCATTCCCACAGAGATAGGGATCCCTCTCTCGCCTGCATATCCTCCTCCCCAAAAGTCCAAGGTAGAGTGGGTCAAGAGCAGAGGAGGAGTGGAAGAGGCTGCTGCAGGTCTCTACTCTGAGCTCCCAGCAAAGGCAGCGGGCAAAGGACACAGCCCCTAGGTAGGAGCAAGGCTGGACAGGGGACCCAGGGACTGGGCATAGGACAGCAGTGCCCAGAGCATCTACTGGCCTAGGGAGGGCACCCCCACTCCACCCTCATCACCCCATCCTCACCCCACCCCACACACCTTCCCATAGGCACATATTTGGATCTCAAAGATGGCACAAGTTTGCAACCAGGAGCCAATCAACTCTTTTATCTGTTTTTACAAAGTGTACTTTTTACCAAGTCTTTTTCCACCTAAGTCCTCTTTCTCTGCTATTCATATAACTGGTCAGCTTTCTTTCTGGAGTTGCTTGCATGATATAACTTTTTCTGTCCTTTTATTATTAGTCTTCTTGTACCCTCGAACTATATGTCCGGCCCATCATCTACTCCTGCTTCTTCCCTAGTCTGATACTCTCAGTCTTTAATTGGCTACACAGAGTAGTTATATTTACTGTAATTTCTGTTATATCACAATAGTCCTGCACATACGTGTGCAACGAGACACAGGCCTACAGGACTGTGATCCACAGTAGCCCCAAATGCCATCAAGTAGAAAATTGGAGTTGCAGTACATCCAACCAATGAAATACACTGTAACAATGAGTTGACCTATAACAACACATATAAAAATTGAGCAACTGGAAAAAAAAATATGAGAACTTCCTAAAATTCTGCTTCTTTCATTTTTTAATCAGTTCTATCATTCCTCAAAGGTCATACCACTTTATGATGACTTTCTGGATATTAATTGATTTTGGTGACCCTCTTGCACCCTACAGCTACTGACATACTAATCCCACCACATGTGACTTTATATTACCTTTCCATCTTTTCTATTTGATCATAAACTCTAAGGAAACAAAAAAAAAAAAAATTGAGCAACAAAGTCCCAGATCCTACCCCAACCACTAAAACATATGACAACTCAGATGATTCAATCTGTACAGGAGTTTCGATCTTGTAACCCACATTTCTACAGGAGTGGCTATGGGAAGGGGCCTGAGGAGTGTCTGGGTGCTGGGAAGGAAGGCTTCCTCTCCTGCTCTGAGTGCTGCTGGCCCTGTGATAGTTAACTGAGCCACGCACCTGTGACCTGTGTACTCATCTTAAGAAGCCATATTTTGAGGAAGAATATATTCTTTACACCAAGTGTTTAACTTGCAAATGAACACTCATCTTTCATCAAAATGCTGCGGCTGGACCTAGTTCTGCAGTTAAAAGATTCAAATGCTGGTGGGCATAGGGCTGAAGATTTTTTACTAACAGGGAAGGCAAGTGTCTTTTCACAATTTCTTAAAAAATGATCAAAAATTAAATAATTGCTCAATAAGTCATTTTTTCCATATGTGAGTAGTGTTTTTAGATGTTGAATATTATTCTGTTGATGATGGCTTAAGTGTAATATTCAGATAAAACATGCCCAAAATATCCTGTGACTCACAGCAAAATTCAATTTGGATTCGTAATGAAAACCAAGCATGTTAGTGAGCTGGACACCTGCCCTGGAGCTGGGGTAGCAACGGTGTAGAGGGAGCTTGGGCGAGGTTGTACCCCCACCCCCAGCAACAGCTGTCCAGATGTTCAGGGGGTGGTAAGGGGTGGGGGATGGGTTGGATCCATGAGAGTATAGATTTTTAAATACATACTGAGCTGTCAGACACACTTCACACTGATTTTAATACATAAGAATAATCATTTGGTCTCTCAGCAAAATTCAATAACCTCACTGCTGAAGAGTGCTTCACAAGCTCCACAGCTCTCGCTTCTACCTCATCCACACCAGGGTGAGGGGCTGCAGCCCCCAGACAGGGAAACTGTGGGGCTCAGCAAGAGGAAGACCCTGGGTTGACAGCGCACAGCGAGACAGTGCTGCGGCCTCGGCCCCACCCAGGAAGAGGTAGGCAAGAAGCTCAGTCCTCTGTATGGACTCCACAGTGGGTAGATGGATCATTACTCCAAAATCCTGTGTTTTAAACATCTAAAGAGCATTTCAGTAAGTTCCTTTGTGACTTAAAACATCTGGAATGCGATGTGTCAATACGGAAACATGTTTCTTTCTTTCAAGATTATAAGGAAGCAGGAACCAACCTTCACAAAAGCACACTTGAAAGGTTTCAGCTAAGATAAGAACCTTTTTAAAAGGAAGCTTGCTAAAATATTCAATTGCTAGCAAAAAAAAAATGCCTTTATTCTCAAATCACTAAAAAATTCTCCAAGAAACGCAGGTGACAACAAATTCATTCTTATACATATTTATTCCATTAAACCGGCTTTTAACTCTGGCTGAGGCAGAAAGATTAAAGGAGATTTTGAAAACACTGACATCCAAGCCCTTCTGAAGATAGTCTTGTTTTAATGGGCTGCTGGGAGGCCGACTCTTTCCTGTGTTAAATTCCTCAGGTGATTCAGATGCGCAGACAGGCGGAGAAGCACCAGACTAGATGTTTATGCTGCCCAGTCAGCAACTCCAGTAGCACAAGTAGGACCCGCTTGTGATGCAAACAGGGTAGACGGAGTTTAAAGACATAAAACTAACGCCTTTGTGGGACTATTAACCCTGCAGTTAAGTACATGGTTCACACTTCAGGGCCCCTTAAAACAGACAAGTGTGGCAATGCTGGAAACCCAGAAACCGTACCTCGGTGCACACTACCCACCCAGCAGCCCTTCCCCTCCAGGGCAGTCACTGGAGCAACGCACCCTCTTCAAAGGAGTAGTCTCTTTGTTTATTCATTCTGGCTTTTCTCCCAATTGTCATCTCTGGAAAGTCCAGAGGGGGAAGTTCAGCAATTTCAAATAAGGAAATATGGTTTAATGCCACAGTTTGTGTACTCAGTGCTCATGAAGAAAAATGTAGCATTTAGATGGGCGCGAGGCTTGCATAAGTGAACCTGCTAAAGAAAGGGAAGTGTGTAAGTGGCAAGGGAGCCACGGCTCATGCACAGCAGAAGTTTGTTATCTAGATAGATTCAGATGGGCTGGGGAGGTAGCTTAAAGGTCTAAGTGCCTGCCTGGCAAGTGCAAGGACCCAAGTTCGGTCCCCGGTATCACATGCTGTGCCGGCCTCCAAACCAGGCGTGGTGGTGCATTCCTATAATCCCAGTGCTGGGGAGGTTGAGACAGGAGAATCATTTTATGAGTCCAAGCTGCATAGCAACACCCTGTACCAAATAAAGATTTTATTAAAAACAAAAATTGAAGAGAAGTCCTTGTTATGATCCTCCTGTCTCAGCCTCCCACAGGGCTGGAATTACATAAATACGTTTTTAAATTATATTTTCAAGTTATGATGGGTTTATTGGGCTCCAAGTGACCCCGCCCAGGAGGCTGGGCAAAGCACTGACTGATGTCAAACCCAGGAACCTTCTGATATCACCTATGAGAAGGATAAGTTGTGGGCCAGGGAGATAGCTCAGTAGAATAAGTTCTTGTCTAGCAAGTGCAAGGTCCTGAGTTCAATCCCTGGTACCATCAAAAAATGCATTTGACAGCACAACTCCCCAGCTGTTTCCCCAGAAACCTATCACATTTCATGATGATTGCTGAGCACCACTAAGAAAGCTTCTATTGCATTTATTGATGTAAAAATTATTAAAGCTGCAGGCCTGGGAAGCAAGCAAGCTGAGAGGAAGACAATGTCTTCGTATGTTCATAATTTATATTTAAGAAGCTGGGGCCTGGTAAGGAAAACAATCTGCACAAACTTGTTCAGTAACAGCTGGGCTAGAAATAAGACAGAATTGCAAATTTTCCACCAATGCAGTAAATTAGAGTAGAAGAGGGCTGTTCGGAGGTTTTGCTGGGTGCTACCCATCTGTGATGATCACAAGACAATTCTCATCCTGTGCCTGGGCTAAGAGTCTCACTCAGGTGCTCTGAGAGGACGACATACTGCTATATGGGAAAATCAGTATTCCTATTCCGTTTAACTGTCTGAGGACAGGGCGCAAGTTCTTTCAATGAAACCTCAATATACAGGTTTGTAATTCTGCACAGATGAAAGACAGGAGGAGTCCAAACGCCAGCTGGGCCGCACACCGCTCGCAATCACAATGCACATAACTGAAACCCATGGCTGGCATTTCACTTTCTCTATCCAGCGCCACCCTCACAGATAACTCCCTCCTCTCAACAAAAGAGGTTCGGGGGTTCAGGGAAGACTGCTTTAGGATGGAAATCAGGCCTAGGGCTGCCGGTTGTATTTCAAAAAGCTAAAGCTTCAAGTGCTTTGTAGACAACCAAGAGACGTTTTACATCCACTTCTCCCTCCCAAGACACAATCTTTACTAATAACACCAACAGCAGACTCAAACAGGAAGCTACGCAGACACACGAGTTCTCTTTGGGGACCAGCACTCAACCTGCCAGGCCACGTAACGCGAGAATAATTCCACTACAGCATACGATGTAAAGTAGCAAAGAAATCTTCCACCAGCCTATAGGAAAGGGATAATCTGATGCCTGCCCCAAAATGTACTCAGTCTAGTGTATTTAAGGAAAACAAAACAAAACAAAAATGTAAAGCACACTGGAGGGGACAGCCCCTAGAGACAAGGTGGGACCCGAGGCACCATTGCTTTGAAACTAATGTTGTTTTTAAAAAAGAAGAAGCAGCAGCAGCCTGGGAAACAGCAAGTCCTCTCTTCAAAGCTCATCAGTGCTGGGAAGGGTCTTAAGTCACTTTTGCTGCCTCCATCAAACTGAAGGTTTTGTGACAGATAAAACCCAACCCTGCGGGCCGGGGTCTCCGCTCGGCACCTCGCCTAGGAGCCCACCCACTCCGCGGGCACACGCAGAAGCGCGCCTCACAACGCTGAAGCAAACTTCTTCAATTAGGGAAAAGAAAAAAGTGACAAATCACAGTTCCCTTTTTTTAAAGGGGATCAGTGCTAGGAAGGGCCTCAAATCACAATCACTAACAAATGAGGTGCCGCCGGGGACGTAGCTCAGCCGCACAGAGCCTGCCGGGCAAGCGCAAGGACCTGTGTTCGCTTCCTTGTACAAAAAAAGCCACACTAGGCAACGGTTCCATGTTTATTTGTTGCTATTCCAGGTCGCCCGGAGTCAGCCTTCCATTCCTAAACGCGCAGACTCCTGAGCCCGGGTGCCCGTCCCCCGTCTGGCACCGGAGGCTCAAGCGACCGCAGCCGGCCCCGGGGCCGTGGGTGGGACGCTCC